ACTATGATGTTGCAAACAAAGAACTATTAGCGATAGTTCAAGCATTAAAGGAATGGAGAAGATATGTTTTGAACAACGACCATCCTGTCCGAGTTCTAACTGACCACAAGAACTTGGTCCCATTCATGACTACGAAAGAACTAAACGACCGCCAGATAAGATGGATGGAACACCTCAGTAAATATAACTTCAAAATCGAATACAGACCAAGCAAAGAGAGTGGAAAGCCAACTGCTCTCACAAGAATTGCAAGCGACAAACTACAAACGAAAGAAGACGAAAGAATCAAACAAAAAACATGAACACTATTACCAAAAACCTACTTTGAGGCAATGGAGGTTATCCAATTCACATCAATGGTGGAAAGGGAAATTGAGAATGCAAACCAGAAAGACAAAACAATTCAGACAATAAGAGAAGCATTGAAAGAAGGAAAAAAGGAGATGAAAGGAATTGTTCTAGGTTTATGCCAATGAAAGGATAGAAGTATGTGGTACGACTGAAAACAATGGATCCCGGAAGAGGAGGAGATAAGGGCAGACATCATACGACAACACCACGATATCCAAATGACAGGACATGGGGGAACTGCTAAAACCACAGAATTCATCACGAGGTCATTCTATTGGCCAGGACTGCGCAAAGATGTCAAATGATATGTCAAAAACTGCGACATATGCTAAAAGATGAAAACGGCTAAATACGCACCATATGGATTACTGAAATCAAACGAAGTTTCCAAACAACCATGGGAAACAATTACTATGCACTTCATCATGGACCTACCGGCATCGGAAAATTGCTATAGCATCCTGGTCGTGGTGGATCGTCTGACCAAAATGAGTCATTTCATTCCAGTCACAAAAGATATCAACTCGAGGGATTTTATACAGACATTCTTGCGAGAGGTCTTCCTACTTCACGGCCTCCCAAAAAATATCATTAGTGATCGAGGAACACTATTCATATCGGGACTATGGAAGAAAGTAACTGGAGAAATGGGGATACAAAATGGGATGAGCACAGCATTCCACCCATAGATGGATGGACAAACGGAATGGGTAAATTTGATACTCGAACAATATTTAAGGGCCTACGTCAATTATCAACAAGATGATTGGTACAAGCTGTTATCTATGGCCAATTTCGCATACAACAATGGAAAATAAGAAACAATCGGCATGACACCATTTTTCGTGAATTACAGACAACATCCACAAGGTCAGACTACATATCATACGATTAATGATGTGATACCGGATAAAGCCAATATGGGAAAACTACATGAAACATTACAATACGAAATGAGTCAAGCACAATAATGACAAAAGGAACAATACGATAAGCACCGAAGACCAGATCTGAACATACAACCAGGAGATATGGTATGGCTAATTCCATGCAATATCCACACGACACGACCATCAAAGAAATTGGACTACAAGAAAATTGGACCATTCAGGATATTGGAAAGAGTGGGCAGCCGAGCTTATAAACTCAACCTTTCCCCCTCGATGCGAATACACAACACATTCCACATCTCGCTCTTCGAATTACACAACAACAACAAGTTTCCCTCACAAACACTTATTCCTCCCCCTCTGATTGAACTCGACAGAGAACCAGAATACTAACTCAACGAAATAGTGGATTCCCACTTCTTCCATGGTCACCTCCAATACCAAGCCAAGTGGAAATGGATATTCACCTGAACACGATAAAACTTTGTACTTCACACACAACTTTGAACATGCACAAGATGCCATCTCAACCTTCCACCAGCGATACCCAAGCAAGCCCAGCCCAGGTGATGATCATGTTCAACCAAGACAAAGGCGAGGGAAAGGCTCCCGTACTGTTGTAACAACACGAGGACTGGGACAATAGCCCACGTCAAACCACACCAACCAGGCCCAAATACACATTCATGGGGCCGACCAATGAAGAACTCAAGGAAAGGGAACAACAAGCACAGCATAACGCCATGTGGTGAACTGTATGCTACGATGACGGTTGCCAGACACATTTTGGCGACAAAGAAGGCTCGGGATGGTTCCCGAGGGAATGTCGAAAGTGTGGCCCACACCCAGACCACGTCCTGAAGCATTGGCAACAATGCTTCAGAAATGGGTGCAGGATGCACAGGGCGCAGAAAATATCTGCAGGATTCTACCCGCAGAAGAATAGAAGCAGGAAAGGGTTGGAAGGAGAAGATGCCAGAAAGGCGTGGGCCGCGAGGATGTGGTCCAGGGAGGGAGGGACCCAAAACTCCTCAGCGGACATGGAACCAAACATCAGGAGCTTACACAGGCAGATCCAGGGACTCAGAGAACAACTTGGCCAAGCTGAGGCCACAATTTCGGCAAATGACAAAACGATCACGGAGCTAAGGCAGCTGAACAATAATCAGCAGCACAAGATCGAGATGGCGAATCTGACTCTAGAATCGGTAACAGTCAGATGGAGGATAGCAGACGAGAAGTTCCAGAAGCTGAGAAGGACCATGCGCTCGGCAGGACGGGAACTACTGAAACTGGGAGAAAAAGCCTGAGGGGACTCAGGCTTAGGAGGAGGGGAGCTAATGTCACGAATGTGGCTTGGCATAAAAGAGGTTTTCACGTAACACATCGGTATAAGTTACAGGTATGTTATTGTTTCACACATATGACTCATTCAAGTCAAATGATTTGTTATGTGTGGAATTTGTGATGCTTTCACACATGGCTCAAATATGAGTCATGCAACGTGCGCCTGGCGAGTATGCCTTGCGAGTGTGCCTTGCAAGTAAGCCTTGTGCATATGATTTATGTTTTGCACATGACCTCGTTATGAGGTCATGGGTTTCGCCCACATGACTCAGTCAAGTCATATGACTTGTTTATTGCATTATGATTAGTTTATGGGTTTTTGTACATGACCTCGCTATGAGGTCATGGGTTTTGAGTATGTGATCACTTTGGTCACATGACTAGTTTGTTATGATTTGGTTTTGCACATGTGACCACTTGAGGTCACATGACTACGGGCGGGAAGAATACTATATAAGGAGGCTAATGCGGCCAAGGAAGATAGGTTCTTCATGCTTTGTTATAAGTACTTTTCCTACTTATTACTTTAACTAATATAAAACACCTTTACGATCTTTACCTTTATTGCAACGTTATCGTTACGCCAAGGAAAGCCCTTTAGAAAGAAGAGTTAGCGAAAGCTTACAATAGGCATTCCCGCTAGAAGACAAAGGTCTTGTACTATCGGTAACACAGGCAGTGGCCTTGAACTATCATAAGACGAAGAATAAGGAAGACAGAAACGAGAAGTATCATTCCCCGTCGCCAAGAACTAACTATCCAAGGAGGGATCATTACACATTCCCGATAGAAGACAAAGTTCTTGTACTATCAGTAACGTAAGCAGAGGCCTAGTGCTATTGTAAGGTGAGAAGAAGAAAGAAGGTGAGAAGTATTGTTTCCCATCGCCAAGAACTAATCATCTAAACAGGGATCGTTACATAGAACTGGGACTGTATCTCTTTACAAAAAGCCTCCCATACTATAATGCTTTTCCTATCTGATTCCTAAACCTCATTGCTACACTCTGGATTGAACTCTTCATCAGGATGGCCAGTTACCCAAAGCCAATGGGAGAACCCAGCAGTGCTTAAATTGGACCCATCAGTCCAAACCACTCTCATCCATTCCTCCTCCATCTAGTCAAACTACTCCTCATGCCATTAGATACTCTTAGGTTTATTCCTCTCCTCTATTTCCCACCTGTTAAGTAAAAAGAAAATAATTAAAATTAGTAGATAGTTTTAGCATTACAGTAGACCTTTTAGTATTCTACCTAGAATAAATTAGATTAATTTACTTTCTTTCTTCTTGAGAGACGCTTATGATATTCCATAGATGTCATAACATCTCTCAATATCCACTCTGAGTAGGCATAACCTATCTCCATAATTAACTCCTCTCATTGCAGATAGCAAGTCTTTTTATCCTGAGTGACAAAAGCCGGCAGCCTTGCCTACTCAGTTTTATTGAACATCACCAGCCAGCCAGAGTGAGGCCAATTAGAAAGGGAACTACCGTTAAGTCTCGCATGATGATAGATTTTCTGATATGTGAGGTAGTCTAAATCTACCTGGTTTCCAATCTCCTATACCACAGCTCCAAGTCAATGATTAGTTTCCATCTTTCAAATTTTTTTTTTACCTACCTTTCACGTCATTCCTGCTTTTTCTTGCAATGTAATAATTTACATGTACTCATCACATGTAGTCTTACAGCCCTTCACACTTCTTTCTGCTAGAACACAATCTCCTTGATGTTCTTTGACTCTCAAAGAAGAAGAAAAGTAAAAAAATGAGGTACTACATTGATTGAAATTGCAGTATCGGTTTAATTGTTGGAGTGAAGAATGATCAGGTACTCAGAGTTTTGCTATCATGACATATATACTAAGTGCTACAAGTGGCAGCAGCCTATTCGTCATTGGCTAAAACATCTCCAACGAATTAGCTTGGGTTCGACAGACTTACCCACAACTCCCGGTATACCTATGCATAATGCCGGCTTGATGGACAGTGTGCCAATGCTTTATGTCTACTGCCTATTAGGTCTTCTGAGTCTGAGCAGCTTTCCACCTCAGGCTAACACAATAACAGCTAAAGAGATTAGAAAAAGAGGCAATTCAGGACCAGAAAAGGTGGTGGAGACCAGTTTATAGGAAACTTAAACGAAAAAGAATACTCAATTGAAACAATTGAAAAAGGGTATTGTGATGTGAATGTAATTTTCACCAATAGAAACTGAAATCTTACGTTGAGCTGAGACGTGACATTGAGCTGAGAGGCACATCGTAGACGTGCTCCCAGATTTGGAACTGTGCTCCGTTCCACAATCGGCAGGAACCTTGGCACGGTTAAACCGCTAGAGCCTCAAGCTTATATAATGGCATGAAATAATAGTCGTCACAAAAACATCCACCTCGGAGTGTCACATCTCCCACTCATGTAACTCATCCCACCTATGAAGCCATGATACTCTAGCCTACTTTCCTTTCTCCCTTCCTCCCTCCCATACACCACCGAAACACGACCACACCCCACCGCATCCCTCAAGATGGTCCGCTACAAAGCCCGCTATCTCCTAATAACAATCCACTACCCAACCGAGCCCGCCCCCCCGGGCTCCAACCCTACCCTCCCTTTTACCCACCCCTCCCATCCAAGCCTAACAAAACAATCCCTCAGTAATCTCATACGCGATAGCCTAGCCCTCCAATTCGGCGACTACGGTGCTGGCGCAGCAGGGAACATGACGGTAAAGTACTTCTCGCCCGTCACGTCCACTGGGATAATCAAGGTCTCGAGAGCCCACTACAGGATGTTGTGGGCTTCTCTGACCTTCATGAAGGAGGTGATGGGCAGGGGGGCAGTGGTTAGTGTTGTTAGGGTTAGTGGAACAATTAAGAAGGTGCAGATCGAGGCCACCAGGAGAGCAAAGGAGGGGATTCGACGGGCACGGGGGGTTGGAGGAGAGGGGGTTGGGCTGGATGTTATGGACATTCTGGATGATGACGGTGACGGTGATGAGGGCAGTGGGGATGAGGAATGAGGGTTTGGTTGGATGAAGCTGCATTGTAACGCTACCTGGAGGGCGTTTGATAGAAGCAAATCAGGAAGGCGTGGTTCGAAGGATGTGGATGGTATTGGTTGGGGAATCCCCCTTCCATTGTTCAATCCTAATAAGCTATGGATTTACGAAGCCTCAGAACAAATCACCGACCCTCAACACTTGTCCCGTACCAAACCCTGAGTACCCCCTAAGTATAGAGAATATATCACTAGAACGTTTGTCTGGCTGTGTATCACAGGTGTTGTGTAATATCAATCTGAATTGTAAGTTTTTTTTTTTTGCAGAGTAAGCAGTGATCCGTTGGAATAGTTACAGGGTCATTACGTTGATTAACTGGTGCTAAGGCGTACAAGCTATGTTACAGCTCTACTCTAACGATTATAATACACCAGGCCCAATCAGACCACTACCCAGCAACCTCGGTTTCATCATTTCCACATTCCGTGCCTGGGACATCCTCTCCCTCTCCCTCGTTGGCTGGTGGACCGCTTTTATCCTCTACTGCTTCCTCTCCCTTGAGCCTTCTCTCCGCCGCCTTTCTCTTCTCTCTTTCCGCCTTTTTGATCTGGCGTTTACTTATGGGCCTTTCCTCCGTCTCCCCTTTCCACTTGAGTTTCCCATTGCCCTTGAGATTACCATCAACCGGAGCATTCACAACACTCTTAGTTGTCTGTTTCACTAGTGCCTGCGCGGCAGCCTCATCCTCCACAGTCCATTCCCTAGGCAACACAGCAAAAACAAGATAACTCGTGTGGCTCTTGATCTCCGGTTCGATCCTTGTGACAATCTTGCCATCCTTTGCACCCTTCTTCTCGCGGCTATTCTGTGTCTTCCACGCTTCGGTCGGATTTTGTTGGGTTGTGATAGTAGAATCCGCCGGATTCTTTTTGCGTTTGTGTTCGCGGTATTCGCCGATCCATTTCAATCTCTGAACCGCCTCTCCGACTGTTCGTGGGCCCGCACCATCTTCGTAGCCTTTCGGGTTCAATCGGCGGACTTCTATGCGGCGGTGTTGGATTTCGACCATCTCAACGTCCACCCAGCCGAGTTTGCGCAGCACATTGACTGTTCGAGTCACCTGCTCGATACATGGCGAGAAGGTGCAAATTCTGACTGCCTCTGTAGAAGATAAAGCAGAGGGTTTTCCGGAGCCACAGGGTTCACCGGAGACCTTGTCGTCCGGTATTGTAATGGTACCGTCTTCCGTTTTAATTGGCATTTTGGCGGAAGTAGAGGAAGTTGGGTCCAGAAGATCCCGTGGAGAAATTGTAGCCGTGGCAGTAGTTGTCACTTCGCCGATCTTCCCAACACTCGTTGTGGGGCCAGGCGAAGGGGACGGGGTGAGCCCCGTAGAGGTCGGTAATGAAGGCGTTGGGCGTGCCCGGCGAGTGAGGTGTGGTAATGCAAGCCTAGTTCAATAAGCAGGGGAGCACAATGATCAACTGCATTACTTACCAAGGGGCCGGAAGGTCAAGGAAGACGGCGGTGGCTTCAGGGGAAATATCCTCCTCTTCCTCACCTACCATCCTCTTAACCAAAAACCCATCCTTACAAACATCCCGATGCACAATCTCCACCAACCCGTCAAGTCCATGCCTCTCAATCTCATCCGTCAACTTCTGCACCCGCTCTTTATGGAACTCAAAGCTAAAAACCTTTCCCCTCCTCCCCTCCCTCCCAATCCCACTCCCGTTCCTCCCATCTGGATACCCGTTGTACGCCGCACGAACTCCGGCATGTGTAAAACTCCCACTTCCAGCTCCTGCCTCAATTAGCACCGACCCAGGCCGGACCTGTAACCTATGCAAGATAAATGAACTATCAGGCATGTACACAACCTGCGTTCTATGCGGCAGACTAGCAGTCCACAATTCCGCCGTCGGCGCAAGCACATGTATGAACCCCGTAGATACAGGTTCGGCAGTTTCTCCCTCATCAGCGTCCTCCATCCGCTTGCGCTTCCGGTTCTGTTCATTGTTCGTTCGCGGTGCGGCGCGGACCTGACTCCCGTAGGGTATTCCGACGATAGAGGAGTGCGGGAAGTCGCCGAAGCGGGTGTTTAGCACGCCTTTGGAGCTGTAGGCTGCGGCGCGGGCGTCATGGGTTTCCGCCTGAGCGCCGTTGGATTGGAAGGAGAGGGGGACAAGTAGGTCCCGTTTTAGGTGGATTATCGACGGCGAGGATGAGTACGGTATTGATTCGGGGGTGTGGAGAAATGCAGATGGAGGGGGGAGTGGGTTTGAGGCCGGGGTCGTGTCGGGGTCTGGTGTTTCGGGCATCTTTGCCTTGTTATAAGGATCGAAAGTGCCGGATCCGGGAGTTGATGTGAAGGTGATTGGAAAAGGGAAAAAGATTTGTTGATTGTTGGGTGGGTCCAGGCGGCTCAAAATTTTTAACGAGGGGCTATGATACAAGCTTTTCACAAACACGGGTTCCATTCTACGATTACCCGGCTGGGTGTTAGATTCACAGCCCATCACTCGGAGTCGTGTAGGATTCCAAGAGTATATTCACGTAAAGCACTATACAATGTGGTGGCTTGTCAGGGGCTGTCAGCCAGGCTAGTAATATCTATTAAAAATATGCGAAGCAAACTTGGTAAGGTAAAATGAAGTACTGGGGGGAGTTACGAGGGGGCGGTAGGACGGGGAAAGGCGAAAGCTAGGAGATGCATCGGGGTCAACGACGCTCTACTTGGATCTCAAAAGGGAAGCACATAATTTCCCTATACCGAATCCTTGGTGCAAAGTACCCACTCACGTTCATTCCCACGAGAGTCTCACCTCATATCACACGCTCCCCAGTTCCCAGTAAGTTCTGCGCGCGGCTCCCACGATACCCACCCAGGCAGGACCCAGCGCCGCAACAACGCACTTTGAGGATCAAAACTACCCGTGAGTCCACCTGAAATCACTCGGGATGTGACCAATCGAAGTGATCGATACAGAGGAATGTCCCCTGAGGACTCGACTAGCAAGGGAAAGCAACAACGGCGGCCAATCCCATACCATAGTAGCCGTTGTCGAAGAACTGCATGGAGACAGTCAGCGGTGTCCATGCTTGAATCATACCCTACCTACGAGCCACCCTGCCGGTCCATGCACCAGGCCACATGAAGCGGAGGCAGACGAATGTCGATCACTAGAAATACAGAGCCTCACAGCGCGCAAGAGATTACAACAGGTATCATATCATAGGTAGGAATAAGATCTCACTATCTTGTATGCCGGAAATATCCCAATTAAATAGCATGCAACATCCCGAGAAATGCTTTTGCAAAGGAGAATTTTGTGGGGGCAGGACCTGGTTAGGGTTAATCGGTAATATCCGGACGTTGGAGGGCTCCCCCGGTAAAGCTCAGGATTTGCAACGCCAGCCCACCAGCTTTCTCGCGGGTAACTATATTGGGATATGTCACATATGCTAGATCTGGTGAAATGGTATGCTAAATTCCTCCTTATAAGTAAAATTAAAGAGACAAAATATCCGATCGCTGGACTACATCCCGTCATCGACAAACCCCGACATGATAACCTGGTAACTTGACTCTATTCGACCAATTTCACCCCCACGAAAAGCCGTCTCGGGGTGGCATACCATACAGTGCTTGGCCGGTACCATACCTACGCTGTAGGCGCCGTGTTCGCCAGGACTATTACTGCTTCATACCTGTTCCCCTGCGCACGCACCCGGTATACCAAGGACGGCTAGGGCCTTGCGGTTTTCTCTGGGATCGGTATTGTCTTCTGTTTCTTGTTGGTGGAGTAGAGCACATGGCGGCAATTCAACCCATCTACGTGGTTCGGATACCGCGTTAGAAGCTCCTTGTGTGCAGTCCTTGGGTACTGCGAACCGCCGGTAACCGAGGGAAATTTGTGGCCCCGCGACGAGAGCCCGGTGGAAAAAAATGTGTGGGGTCTATTGCGATCACGCGAGTAGGAAGAAGAGATTGGGTCTGGGTGCCGGGATGGTGGTGGTGGTGGGGAGGAAGGGGGGCTCGGTGGTATATGGCAAATGCCTAACTTGGTTGGTGGTGGATGGGGGGTTCCGCACCTACTGCACATACCCGGATGTATCGCCATGTCAAGCCGTATGATACAAGGTCAACTCGTTATTGGGATCTACGTACATGATGATTCTCCTCCAGTGGTCACAGCATGCTTAGAAGTTAGAAACGAGTGATACACGATGAAGATATTGATTAGATATTTATAACAATGTCATGATCTTTTAATTTCGTATTCAATACCTGCAGCTAATAAATGTTATATTGGCGTATTGAAGGAGAGAAGGGCGGCAGTGTGGTCCTCAGCGCTGCTTGTAATGTTAATGTTGGAAATGCAACTCAGGTGAAAATGTTGTTATGATACTTCAGGATTAATGCCTCTTCCTCATCGGAAGAACTATTTTACCGTCCTAGGAATCTGAAGTTGGATTCTGGATAGCCGTACTAACGGCCGGAAAAATTATCAGACCGAACAGGACTATTTATATAACTACGGGGTTTGGACAAAAAGACTCCCAAGTATTTTCCGACTCCATATTATGGGACTTCTTATATATTTCTTTCGCCCCCCTGTTGGTTTCTTTACGTTCTTACATTCATTCCAGCTATTCACTTCCGGAAGAGTCAAACCACGATCACTATCCCTCACTGACCACTTCAGGCCCATCTTGAACTTCAGGCAACACAGCGGCCGTCGCTGGTGACGTGCTTGTGATACTTGGAATGCAAGAATTGTATGAACACTGCGCCCCCCCGTAAATGTGGGATATGCATTCGGGGGGAAGTATTTCCAGTAGCTTTTGGCTGTTTCCTTTGAGACCTTCGCACCCTCTCGACGGGTCGGTTGCCCTTGTTCACTCCTGAGCTTCCGATGGTTTGTATGGTACAGAGGGCGGAGATACCGCGGGACAAGTGCACGGTCTCGGGTGTGGTGCGGCAAAGTGTGCCTATAACCCCTGCGCCACGGCCAATAGGCTCTCCTTATGTATATGTAGCCACATTATGTTGTAGCGGTATAGGGGAGAAACACTTCCCTCTCCACCTTTATCGTGGTGGTCTCCATGAACACAATGGCAATGACACTCCCGTTCCGTTCCTCCGCTTGGAAAATTTGAGAATAAATAAAAGCTCTTGGAAGAGCTCGGTGAAGACATTTCAAGCATGTGTTGACTGACTCACAAAGCAGACTATTACTGCTAAGCAATACTTGAGCTGCTGGTGGGGGGTACTCTATCGTACTGTAACACGGGACGAGTTAGGTTGAACTGATCGGACTTAACATTTGCTTTGCTCCGCCACCGGAAAAACATACATACACAATGAGCGTCGGAGCGATTAAGTTAAAACAATTCTCCGGAAAACGCTCAACTGCATTAGAGATAGGTTGAGACCGGAGGCACCGGCCAGCCAGGGCGAGTACATTAGGATCCCAAGAGTCAGGGGCCCGAGTATCAGCTGAGCAGTAGACTTACAGCTCTCCCTGCGATCTCACCGGTGGAGAATGGCTATAGTATAGCAATTCTTCGGCGCGAGGGGGGGGGGGCGGAGAATAGGGATTTCCCTGGCCTTGTGGTGCTAGTTTATATCGATCGCGGAAAAAAAATCGCCTACGGAATTGCAGACGGGAACGTTATGCTGGGAGATGTTGATTGCTTCTATCGTAAGATCCGAGGCTGAGAATGTCCCGACGTCGTGGGTTTTCACCTATTGAGGGAGGAATTGTATCATAATGTTGGTGGTTTTTCTCGAGTGGGAGCGATTGTTAATTTTCGAGTTGGGGTATAGCTTGCGATAACTAGGCGGTTGATAAGACAGAGGGGGGAGTAACGATGAACAAGGCTAGGGTTAGGGTACTATGAATACCTATCATACTTCATTGAGGTACTATCATACAAGGTGATACCGTACGTTAGGCCAGGAAATCGTTGAAAACGAGCAACGATATCACCGGTGGGCCAATTGGCACCTACAGGGCGGATAGAGCTCGAAGTTTACTTGTACCGCCCGGGTAGTTAAAATACTTGCATCTCCACAGCGTATACTATCAAAGCTCTGTGGGTCTTGTAGGACTGGTGAGTAGAGAGGGTTTAGGATTAAATCAGTGGTACGCTCGCGGAATAACGATGTAAATAGACATTCTCAGAGGCAATTATAGCACCCTTGTGAATGTTGAGTATAAAGTAATTTCTTCGTTTCGGGTGTAGGAATCGAAGATCTACTCTGTCCCTCATGTAGTACAAGGTCGGACGTAACATAACATTACTCGAATATATTAATGGATCTAGTTCGTAAATGGTCGAATGGGTTAAAAACAATTACCGAATACCGAATCCTCATCGCGGAGACGTGGCTACGGTATCCCTCGGTCAGTGATAAGAACATCATACCCCGAGTACTGTCATTATAAGAAAATGAGCCAAAGTAATTTCTCCAGTCGGTTTCTACAAGAGCTCCGCATTCCTTACCCCTTTCTTACAGTCATCTTTCCAGAAAGCCACCTTTGGATAGAAAAAAAATGAACGCTTCAACGGCATTTATAGGGCCTGGGAGAATTGATGTGAGTTGCTTTTCGCCTCCAGTGCGCAGAATTTGCTAACGTGATATTACAAGACACATCACCACTACTTCGGGGACTCGGTCCCAGAACTGGTATCAGAATTCACAAACGATGGAGCTCAAGCCTTCTTCTTCCCAAAGGGCGTGGACGACCACTTGAAGTACATGGATTCCATGGGAATCCAGACGGCCGTACTGGCGCCAAGTATCAAGATGGAATGGCATACCCAATGGCCACCGGCGAGATGGAAGAACCTGTGCGAGAGGACGCTGAAAGCCCAGCTGAAGGTTCAGGAATCGAATCCGCTCCGCTTTGGTATGCTTTTATCTTTCCAATTCTTTGCGCAAAAGTGTGGCGCGGGCTTATCAAAAGCACGAAGGGACGTTTGCCATGCTCCCCTTCCCGCATGTTAACGAGACTTTGGACTTCGTGAGGGATATATACACCCGTGAGGTCAAGCCAGATGGTTTCGCGCTGTCTACGGCTATGGGGAATAAATACCTCGGTGATCCAGCCTTCGATCCCATGTGGGACGAATTGAATATGCATAGCGCAGCGATTTTCGTCCACCCTGCGGACACTGCAATGCCGCCGGGACTGGAGTATAAGCCATGTGAGTACAGTAAACCCCCTCGAGGTATGCATTCCAACTAACCTTCCATGCCCAGACGTGTTCGAATATGCCTTCGACACAGCCCGTGCTATGGCCAGCACCATAATCAACGGCGTGTTCACCCGCTATCCGAACCTCAAATTCATCTTCTCCCACAACGGCGGCGCATTCCCGTTCATGGCGAAACGCCTGGACGACGTCGGCCCCTCTGCTAAAAAGATGAACAACGGAAAGTCGGTGTTCGAGGTGATCAGGACGAGCAACATCTTCGTCGACACCGCCATTTCCGCCCCGATACAGTGGCCGGTAACGCTGGACATTGGCTTCCCCGTAGAACGCATAATATATGCGTCGGATTATCCGTACACGGCCGCTGTCGGTGAGGTTGCATATCACGGGAAAACGGCCCCGGAGGAGTCCGGACAATTCACGAGGCACGAGTTGGATGTTAAGATCGCCCGTGAGAATGCTTTGAAAGGACTTTTCCCGAGACTGGCTGTGGAGTACAAGAAGGCGTTTGGGCACAAAGTTGACTGCTGAGTCGGAGTAGTTGCTGGATGAATGGGTGTTTTCGGGATGTGGAGTACTTAAAAGCGAAGGCATGTGCTCGAATTGATATTTGTGGAACATATCTTTGGCCCTCGGTAGCTGTCAACTTGAATCAATACTTCCATAAGTTGGTAGAGAATGTTGTAGAAGGACTTTGCTGATGATCGACTTGTTCTAATCATACCCAGGTCTGGGTGGCATCGCATGTGAGGCATAGGACGCAAGCTACACGACGTTTCAAAAGTCTCCAGAATGGGTAAGAAAGAAAAAAAAGTAAGTGATTCACTTGTAGCATAGCTGGTGGCTTCACATCACCAGATTTTGCAGGAATTGGAGTATCTCAGTCTCACGACCGTGCAGATCTCTTTCCGGAGATTTTAGGAAACGTCGAGGATATCGTGAGTGAGGCAATTCATGGCGGGAAGGTAGAGGCTATCACGGGAATATGGAGTCACTTGGTGAGGAGCGCAGAACACTGCACACCTCGGGGATGTTTTCTACCGTATTGCTGTCCTACACTTTGACGAATTGAATTGGAAGATATCATGCTAATTGTTGTTCTGGAAGAATGACAAAGCATTTTGAGGGTTAGGGTTTGTTTTGAAAACATTTGAAGGAGTAACGATATCTGTTCTACGGCGATGCTATAACGGAGTCTGTATCGCGGTTTGCAGGGTGGGTTTCGAGTACACAATGCGAAAACAATCCGGAAGCGCTAGAACGAGGCATTGGAATACTTGTGGCATAGGCGCAATACGCCAAATTAATCTACTACACACCTAGTCAATGCATCATATTCTCAACACGGGGGACATCTCATGTTCCGAATCGCCTGATCCAGTGAGCAAAAAAATCTTAATTCGTCCCGAACCCATGCTCCCACCACCTCTTGGCACGAATCCACCTATCTCGCCCAATATCTTCGACCTTTCATCTCTTCTTCCCCCTCTCCTCTCCTCTCCCATCTTCTCCCCCCCACTACACAAACCCTGTAGCCACCCGCAACCTCACAAACTTGCAAAACATGCCCCACATAACACGCATGAGCCTACAAGCCCGCACCGGCCTTGACAACACAGGCTTCGAAGAACTCTGGACAACAGTTCACGCGGCGCTTCTCTGTCGAGAGAATCGCATCGGCCTTGCGGGACCAACCATTGGAGGAGGTCCGTTCGAAGAGTGGGTCACCACTAGTCTCGAGAACTGGGCGGGCGAGATGTATTGGGGTGCTGAGGGGAAGGGGATAGTGAAGAAGAAGCCAGTCTGGGAGCATGGTGGAGGCGAGGATCGTAAAGAGTGGGTATACAGCTCTTCTATAGGATTCCACAGGACTGTTTGGCTGATAATTGTTTGATTGTTTGGTTGATTGTTTCCCGGGAAGGTAGGATTCAAGAGGTGTTTCGCGACTTGGTGGTGTACATCGCAGGTAGAGTTCGCATTACGAGGAAAGCTAGAGAAGTATCTCCTAGTCAGGAATATTCCCCCGGGGTTAACGCCCCAGTCGGTGGAAACCATGTAATTGAGGGTAACAGAGCCTGTGCCCCTACACAACCCGGAAAGTGCGTTGGTTTGGAGTTCTCAATACCATACATGCCCTCGCCGAATGAATTTCCGAGATTCCAACAGGAGGCCACACCATCTTCTACCATTCAGGGGAGCAAGCACAGATACCCGACGAGACGGCGGTCGGCCCCATCGCACGTCAAACTCGGTGAGGTGGTCCCGAAACCGGGGCCGAGGAGGAGGAATTGGTCGATCCTAAAGAAGAAAGTTACGAGGGTTCCTGAGCCGACAGCGACACCTCTCAACCGTGCACCTCTTCTCTTGCCACCGCCGCCCCCAATCCCACAACTAGCCCAACAACCCGAGACCCTATCACCACAATCCAAACCCCCGCAGTACCCGAAAACCTACTCCTCTCATCCGGTCTTTGTAACCCGCCTCGCCGAAAAAACGCTCGTGCAACCTGGCTTAACCCTAGTAAAACTTGTTTACGCGAGCGACGCGCAAACACTTGAGGGCTTCTTGCGAAAGGTCCGTCAGAAATGGTCGCTTCCAGAGGTGAAGGGGGTAAGGGTCGAGGTTGACGGGCAAGCTTTCGAGCTGGATCTGGAGGAAGAGAGGGATTGGGAGGTGGTTTTGGAGATTGTGGGTGATATCGTGGGGGTGGTTGTTTGTGGTTAGGGAGCTACGAGGGAAGGAGGCTGGTGGAGAGAAAGGATGATGGGTGATGGAGTGTACAGTACTGTACGAGTATCATACCATTCCTATGTTGGTTACATTAGTCACCATGTTTTATGTCTCGCCGGAGGGTTATTAAATGATCTCGTTCGGGGAGCCAATGTGGTTAAATTTCATCTCGGGTTCGTTATTCCTTGCATTCAAAATCATAGTATCTATGATACTCGAGTAGTTGCCCCTATCTCTGGGGCCTGCTGGGCACAAAAATTTCATGGTAGAGGTTATGTTAACCTAATAGGGAATCTTCTATAGTACAAGTATCATCGTGCTACCAACTACCAGAATTCAAGCTTCTCTTCCGGTATTTTCCTAACCCCACTTTTCACCTTCCTGTTTGGGAAGGTGGTGGCGGACGTCAACACCATGCTCTACCACCTCACGATCCCCTCTCCAGTGCTGAACTTTGGAAGCTTCATAACGCTGGACACTGAACCTCGTCGTGAGGCTAAATGAAATTTTCACCTCCTCTGGTGTTGGACTTTGGGTCTCTCTGCCAGATTGTCATTCCTGTCCTCCCCCTCCCTCCATGGTGGCCACCTCGGCTAAACTGTGTGAGGTTGCGACTACTCCTCTGCCTCTCTGGATTCTTTTACTTGGTCAGGTTTACTACTTTACCAATGTCTGGGTTACTTGGCAATGCGTGGTTGGTATTACACTACCTCCAGTCATGCCCCTGTCCGACCAGCCATAAGCGATCACTCCACTGGGGGCCAACACGTCCAGGTCGGTGTAACGATCCCTCCTTAGATGGTTAGTTCTTGGCGATGGGGAACGAGACTTCTCTTCTCTTTCTTCTCCTTTCTTGTCTTATGATAGCACTAGGCCTCTGCCTACGTTACTGATAGTACAAGACCTCTGTCTTCTATCAAGAACGCCTATCGTAAGCTTTCTCTAACTCTTCTTCGTGAAGAGCTTTCCTTGGCGTAACAATAATGTTGCAATAAAGATAAAGATCGTAAAGGTGTTTTATATTTGTTAAAGTAATAAGTAGGAAAAGTACTTAGAACAAAGCGTGAAGAACCTATCCTCCTCGGCCACATTGGCCTCCTTATATAGTGTTCTTCCTGCCCATAGTCATGTGACCCAAAGTGGTCACATGTGCGAAACCAAATCATAACAAACTAGTCACGTGACTAAAGTGGTCACATGCTCAAAACCCATGACCTTATAGCAAGGTCATATGCAAAAACTCATAAATCAATCATAACACAATAAGTAAGTCATATGACTCGACTGAGTCATATGCGTGAAACCCATGGCCTCATAACAAGGTCATGTGCGAAACATAAATCATATGTGCAAGGCTTACCCACAAGGCATACTTGTAAGGCATACTCACCAGGCGCACGTCCCATGACTCATATTTGAGCCATGTGCGAAAGCATTACAAATTCCACACTTAACAAATCATATGACTCAAATGAGTCATATGTGTGAAACAATAACATACGGTTGCAATATCCAGGCTATCTTGGTCGGGGGTGTGCTA